TATATATATATATATATATATGTGTGTGTGTGTGTGTAACGAGCCGTTGCAAAGAATGCTAAGCATATAATTGGATTAAATATAACTGTACTTGATTTTCTGAAGAATAAAGTTGTTAAAAAAAAACGGAAATTATTTATGACTCACTCTAATTATTAAACTTTAGACTTTTTGGGCGATACATTCGTGAAAAAAAAAGAACGAAAAAACAAAAAACAAAAACGTAGGAAGCCGAAAAATTGTAAATAAAGAAGAAGAAAAAATTTACCAAGTTTAGCATTTGTGAAAGCACGTATTTGAAGTGTTGCCGTTGACATGTCGGTTAGCTGAGAATGAAGCAAGTTGAAAAGTCTATGTTCCAAAGAACGCTTCAGTTGTCAGGAGAGACATCAGATCATCTGAATTGAATTGTGAACCAGGTCTGTGGCTTCGAAGTCACGGTCCTTGGCTGTCAACAACAAACATTGACGTCATTATTCTATAGGCCTTAGAGGGGAGGGAAATTATCTATCTATCTATCTATCTATCTATCTATCTATCTATCTATCTATCTATCTCAGTCTTTTCATCTCTCTCTCTCTCTTTATCTCTCTTTATCTATCTATCTATCTATCTATCTATCTATCTATCTATCTATCTCAGCCTTTTCATATCTATCTATCTATCTATCTATCTATCTATCTCAGTCTTTTCATCTCTCTCTCTCTCTCTCTTTATCTATCTATCTATCTATCTATCTATCTATCTATCTATCTATCTCAGCCTTTTCATATCTATCTATCTATCTATCTATCTATCTATCTATCTATCTATCTATCTATCTCAGTCTTTTCATCTCTCTCTCTCTCTCTTTATCTATCTATCTATCTATCTATCTATCTATCTATCTATCTCAGCCTTTTCATATCTATCTATCTATCTATCTATCTATCTATCTATCTATCTATCTATCTCAGTCTTTTCATATCTATCTCTCTTATTCGTTTCATATTTATCTCATTCTGTCAATATCTATCTCATTTTGTTCATATCTATCTATCTATCTATCTATCTATCTCATTCGTTTCATATCTATTTATCTCATTCTGTTAATATCTATCTCATTTTGTTCATATCTATCTATCTATCTATCTATCTATCTATCTATCTATCTATCTATCTATCTATCTATCTATCTATCTATCTATCTATCTATCGCTTTACCTTCATTGTTAAGGCTACTTTTGTTAACTACAAGTGAAGATTGAAGTAACGTTCTTATCAATTTGTTGTCTGCGCATATTAATATTCCCTTCTGATGTTGAAAGGGGATTATGGGCTGGTGAAAGTTTGAATTAATGTTATTATAGGAGGCAACTCTGTCTAGACTGAAAACTCCGGAGGGAAAGAAAAAAAAATTGAGAGAAGAAAAAATGAAAAGTAAAGAAAAGAAAAAAAACAAAAACAAAAAAACAAAAAACAAGCAATGCCGGATGTAGGGAAAGAACTGAAGCATGCTGGGATATCGGAAAAGAAATCAAAAGGACTGGGAGAGCGAATACTTCCCGCTAAGTTGTATAGGCCAGTTATATTGAGGAGAGAGATAAAAAAAAAATGTTAAGATGATAACAGACTCCAATAAAAAATATCATTGGGTTGTCTTTCTGGTGAGGGCTCAATCGAACGCAATGAATATAATAACATATGACAAGACAGGATGCAAGGTCGCCAAGCTGAGAAAAAAAAAAATGGAGGTCTAGGATTCATGTGCGCATGTCTCTGACATTTTTGCCGCGGGATAACAGAAATTCTTGAAACTCACTTAATCATAATGCGTAAAAGTCCATGAAAGGAATTCATGGAATAAAGAGTATTATATATTTAAGTATGCGGATTTTTTTTGTCTGATTTCATATGCTGGATAATTATTTATGAAATAAAAAAAGAAAAGTTAAGCGGAATTAAAATAATTTTGGGAAGTCAAAGAAGAAAGATAAAAAAAATTATATATCCGCAAATAATTTTTTGTAACAGCCCAAAAGATATAATTCCTAATCGGGTTATTTTTTTGTCTATCTATCTATCTATCTATCTATCTATCTATCTATCTATCTATCTATCTATCTATCTACTTCATTCATTCATTCTTTCTGTGTCATTCAAATATATCTGTCATACACTTATTACGTCATATTTATCAATCTATGTCAGTTTTTTCATATCTATCTATCTATCTATCTATCTATCTATCTATCTATCTATCTCTTTCTTTCTTTCTTTCTTTCTTTCTCAATCAGTTCATTATCTATCTATCTATCTATATATCTATCTATCTATCTATCTATATATCTATTTCATTCATTCATTCTTTCTTTCTATGTCTTCAAATGTATGTCATACACTTATTACGTCATATTTATCAATTTATGTCAGTCTTTTCATATCTATCTATCTATCTATCTACTTTTTTCTTTCTTTTTTCTTTCTCAATCAGTTCATTATCTATCTATCTATTTTTTCAATCAGTTCATTATCTATCTATCTATCTATCTATCTATCTATCTATCTATCTATCTACTTCTTTCTTTCTTTTTTCTTTCTCAATGAATTCATTAACTATCTATCTATCTAACTATCTATCTTTTTCAATCAGTTCATTATCTATCTATCTATCTATCTATCTATCTATCTATCTATCTAATTTCTTTCTTTCTCAGCCAATTCATTATCTTTGTATCTCTCTCTCTCTCTCTCTCTCTCTCTATCTATCTATCTATCATACGCCTGTTTCGTCTTATCTATGTTGATAGGTAACTGTCTAGTTCAATTTCTTCGTACTTGTTTCGCTATATCGATCTAAAACTTCGAAAAACTATTGAAAGTTTAGAATCCACTTAAAACCTCTGGTCAGTGTTCAATCGAAGATAAATCCTCCAGGTTTATTTATGTGCATCAATATCGAAACGATTCGTATCCTTTTGGAAAATATCAGATAAGGATGTCTGCCGCTAACGGGCTAAACAGATCCTCTTTTATAGAGTGTGAAATCACCCCCCACTTGCCAGCTAAGTCAAGAAAAGTCATAAATCATAGCTCCCTGCCCACACTCGTCTCAGACTGAAATATTTTTGTTGAGACTGATCAGAGATAGATAGGAGTGTCGCTCCTCACAATTCCTTTGCGTTGTCATTCTTCTACTGTCGGCTCGCTTAACGAGCATAATCGTATATCGTTACAGAAGATTCATAGATAGATACGTAGACAGACAGATATGAAGAGGCTAGAATACATAGATAGATAGATTATGAAGAGACTGAGATAGATAATGATTCGGTTGCGATAGATAGATACATATATATGAACTGACTGAGGTAGATAATGATTCGACTGATATATATATATATATATATATATATATATATATATAAAGAGAGAGAGAGAGATAGTAAACAAACTGGGACAGATAGATATATCGATAGATAGATATGGACAGACTGAGATAATTATTCGACTAATATATATATATATATATATATATATATATATATTAGTCGAATCATTATCTCAGTTGTATATATATATATATATATATATATATATATATATAGAGAGAGAGAGAGAGAGAGATAGAGAGGATGAATAGATAGATAATGAAGAAAACTGGGACAGATAGATAGATATGAACAGACTGAGATACTGATTCGATTGATATATATATATATATATATATATATATATATATGATATATATGAACAAACTGGGACAGATAGATAGATGAATAGATAGATAGATAGATAGATAGATAGATAGATAGATAATGAACAGGCTGAGATAGATAGATAGATAATAGATAAGGAACAGGCTGAGATAGATAGATAGATAAGGAACAGGCTGAGATAGATAAGGACATAGATAGATAGATAGATAGATGAATAGATAGATAGATAGATAGATAGATGAATATGAACAGACTGAGATACTGATTCGATTGATATATATATATATATATATACATATATATATATATATATATATATATATATATATAAATAGATAGATAGATAGATAGTGAACAAACTGGAACAGATAGATAGATAGATAGATAGATAGATAGATAGATAGATAGATAGATAGATAATGAACAGTCTGAAATAGATAGATAGATAGATAGATAGATAGATAGATAGATAGATAGATAATGAACAGGCTAAGACAGGTAGATAGATAATGGACAGGATAGATAGATAGATAGATAAGGACATAGATAGATAGATAGATAGATAGATAGATAGATAGATAGATAGATATGAACAGGTTGAAAAAGATAAATAATAGACCGAGAATGATAGTCTTGAAATCCCTCTGATCGAGAACTAATAAGCGTCAATATCTTGTAAATAAAACGGACTGCCTTCATTACCGTCTTTCATAAATTAATACCGAAATCCATTTACATCCTTCATCACTTAGTATTTAGTCACCTATTCATGTACAAAGTGCAAGAGATAAATTGTCGTCTAAATTTATAACCATTTTGATTTTCCTAATCATTAATTGCATCTTTAACTTAATTTTCATTGTCGAACTCTAAACTTTGTTAGATGGGTGCGCATTCTTCCTAATCGTCAACGCCCTGCACCGTTAAGGGAGGTAACTCCGCAAAAATCGCGATCCCTCAGGTTTAAATTAATTTTTAAAATGAAAACCTTCATGAAGTTTTCACTTTAACTCTAAATGAAAGCTAAAGGGTTAAATTTACTATTTCCAGTAAGCAAAATACTCTGTGGTGTATTTCAAACACAAATTATATTTATTTGAATCAAAGTCGTCCATTTTTGAGACACTTGTAAACACAAGTTAGTTCTGGGTTTTAAAAATCTTGCAAAAATAAGAAATATATTTCTCAAGCGTTATTTGAGGAAAATTAACAAATTTAACGCTAAATTAATTGATTTGAAACAAATTTTATTTACTTTAAGTTTAAAAGATTGCAGAAATACATTTTCAACCGGACAGTAGCGATGTTTTTAACCGGGCAGTAGGGGTGATTTTAACCGGGCAGTTGCGATATTTTTAACCGGACAGTAGCGGTGTTTTTAACCGGACAGTTACGATTTTTTCAACCGGACAGTAGCGGTGTTTTTTTACCGGGCAGTATAGGTATTTTTAACCGGACAGTAGCGGTGTTTTTAACCGGACAGTAGCGGTGATTTTAACAGGACAGCAGTGGTGTCTTTAACCGGACAGTAGAGGTGATTTTAACAGGACAGTAGTGTGGTCTTTAACCGGACAGTAGCGGTGTTTTTAACCGGACAGTTGAGGTGTTTTTAACCGGACAGTTGCGATGTTTTTAACCGGACAGTATCGGTGATTTTAACAGGACAGTAGCGGTGTTTTTAACCGGACAGTAGAGGTGATTTTAACCGGACAGTAGAGGTGATTTTAACAGGACAGTAGCGGTGTTTTTAACCGGACAGTAGATGTGTTTTTAACCGGACAGTTGAGATGTTTTTAACCGGACAGTAGCGGTGTCTTTAACCGGACAGTAGAGGTGATTTTAACCGGACAGTAGCGGTGCTTTTAACCGGACAGTATCGGTGATTTAAACAGGACAGTAGCGGTGTTTTTAACCGACAGTAGGTGTGTTTACGTGTTTGACAAGGTGATGACAGATATAATGTTCTTCTACGGAGATTTTATCTGTAAAACTTAATTGAAGCAAATGACGTGGGCGCCATTTTTTATTTAAGTTTTAAGCAAACGGTAATCCTAAAAAAGAAGGAAAACATTCTCCGTAATCTAATGTTTTATTGAATTTTAGAAATTTGGGCTTAAAATTTGCTATCGCGATTACTTTTTGATAATGTCGTACTTAAAATCTAAAAATATTTTCTGGCTTTAAATAACCTGCAAGAGGTTGATAAGTCGTAAAAAAACAAACAATCACGTGCAATTTTAACAAAATACATAAACTTTAACAATTAGCTAAATTCTGCGAAAAATGAATGTTCACTACAAAGGGTTGATAAAACGTCAAAAATAAATCTTTCTCTTCGTTCACCGCATGATCTCTGTTAAATATTCCTTTTCAAAAGTGAAGATTGAATTACGTCAGTGATTGTGCATGATGCAATGAACGAAACAAATAGCTTTAAATAACCTGCAAAATGTTGATAAACCGTAAAAAACTCCATCAATCAAATAAACATGTGAAATTATTACAATTATTACAATTATAGTTAATTTGTTTTGGTATTTCAAGAATTGACCCAAATAAATAGGGTACCTCAATTAAATGGATGCCCCAATTAAATGCAATCTTTTGCAAATGTTTGAAAACCGCTCGTCTTTGAAACTAGATACGAGTTTGTTTTTTTTGTTTTTTTGTCAACGTGGGAAGAATGAAATGTTAGTGAACCTTTCCTCTCGCCCTTGTTTCTAACCATTTAACTAAACTGCATGAGAAAAAGAAAAACCTTATGAGTCATGATCGACGTGTGATGACGTTGGCATCAGTGATTATTGATAAACCCAAGCCAGTTATATTAAACCAAGAACCGGCCTTGCGGGTCCGAAAAATTACTTCACTTGTATTGGATCGTCCTTATTAAGATGCTGCTACAACTATGGCTGTTGTTAATGTTACTAATGCTATAAGTATAAGTACTATTACGACGGTTACTAATATTACTATCAATATGATTATTATTAGGCCTATTTCAGCATCATTTAAACTGAATAGACCTTATTAAATTACTACTCTTTCGTTACATCCACCTACGTGCAAATACCCTTGGGAAAGGTATGAATGCATCTATTTTCCCTCCATCTATGGGTTAAATAGCAGGACAGATTTTTTTTTATCCTTGGTTGGAAGCCAGTCTACCGCAGAAAGAAGTAGCAACCTACTGCGGGAAAATCTTCCGCCGAATCAGACATTAATCTAAAAGAGACATGATTGCCAGAGCGTTTATCGCGCGTGGAAAAACGGATAATGAGAAAATTAAAGCAAGAAAAAAGTGTTTAACGTCACTTTCACTGAAATGAAAAAAAATATTGTCGATTTCAAATCTTTTCATTTGTACCCCCTTCAGTCAGTCAACTGCCATACGTGAGACTCGCCTTGGCGAACATGTCTCTTTTCATTCATGATTTGCTAGGCAGAAGATATTCCCGCAGTAGACTGCCGTTTATTTCTGCGGTAGACTGGTATCCAACAAAGGCTATAGGACTTAGTCTGTGCTGCTATTCAAGAAACTATCCGCTCAGTATAGTCGCTGTGGGTGTTGAACAGATAAAACATCTGCCTGAGGCGGTACCTTTTATAGAAATTAGATCACCACCAAATAAACGAACAACAAGCAGCCACCTGTAGTGCTTATTCTACAATTAGTTGTAATAATATTAAATCAATGACAGTAATCACTGGGTCGACTGGTATTGATATTTATTGATTCTCAATTGAAGTGTAATTGGTTTTATTGATTTTCCCAGCAATCAATTATAAAAACGATAATTTCAAGGTTCTAGTTAATCATTTTTTCTATGAAAGTCAGTCTTTGTTGATAGCAGTTTGTCTTTATTGATTCTGTAAATGTAACCTTTTTGTATTGTTCGGAATAATAATATAAATAATACTGTGTCAGCCCAAAATGCAGATTCTGTGATAAATATCCAGAAACAATTGACCATCTTGTATCAGGTTGTACGGTGTTGGCACCCACTGAATATAAAACCCGACATGACAGAGTGGGCCAATATCTGCATTGGAAAATCTGCAACTTCTACGGGAAGGAAATTGAAAGAAACTGGTATGAACACTACCCAGACCCGGTTTTATCACTGTTGCCTTTATCTTTTTTTTGCATATTCACGACGTTTCAGCCGATGTACGCTCCGGCCTTCTTCAGATGATTGGAATTTTGAAATGCCAATCAGGGTAGATTGTTCAAATTCCACCTGCCACACCTCTTCCGGGTGTCTCAGTTATCTCTCTTTAAATCTACTCTCAAACTATTCCTATCTATCTATCTATCTATCTATCTATCTATCTATCTATCTATCTATCTATCTATCTATCTCAAACTATTCATATCTATCTATCTATCTATCTATCTATCTATCTATCTATCTATTCATATCTATCTATCTTTAGCATTCAACTTCTACGTAATTATAATAATATTTTTGACTCAGTGAATTCTATTGGTTGTAAAATATTTCAATGCATTTTCATGTAACATTTCTCTTGGCAACAAACTAAACCCCATGTGGATTACAGAAGCTTCGACTAAAATTCCGGCTTCTGATTGGCTAATTGTTATAGTAATTTACCTACGCACGCATGGATTCTCCCGGCTATAAATAGGAGCAGGTACTGCCTTTTGGAGAGGGAATTTTCCAGCAGTCATCTCTGACAGTCGGACCAAACATTCTTGCTATAACACTCTCGTTTGTATATGTTTGTATTACTGTTTCTATTAATATATTTGTTTAACTCAATTCCTCTCTTGTGTCTTCATATTTCTGTCCCTAACCACGCCATAACACTAATATATGTGAAAATTGTTCCAACGCCTACGCAGTTGCGTTAAAAATTAATTTACCGCCAAAAAGTTTCTGAATAGAACTAAACATGTTCATGAGCCGGTCACATGATCTACAACTAAATAAATACAATAAACGTAGCCGAACCTTGTTGCAGTTTTTTGTGTATCATGTACTAGTGAGCTAGCCTAAATGAGTTGACTCATTTTATAGTTCACCATTAGATGGGTTAACCAATCAGAAAACCCAAAATATTCAATGCGACGTGTATAAAGGCAGCCATTTTTTTTCTCCCAAATTGTCTGCACTGCCAACCTGGTATCGAAGACTTAAAGAATTACTTAACAGCCGCTACTTTCTCTGAATCTTCACTGCCGACCTCTGATATTGAACTGATTATGGACTGATTCCATATTCAGAGACTACGGCAAACATGGTCAACAAACGTCACCAGTGAGATTTTTTTTTTTTTTTTTACCAGCAACAAGCATGCTGGCTGAGAGCATACAACTTTCAATTCATTAACTACGACAGATATCAACTTCCGACAGTGGGAAATTTGACCGACCAACTTTCATTTCTGAAATCCACTCTCAGCACACAGTAACTCAATTGCATCTCAACCGATGTCGACCTTCAACAATATGCAAATTTGAGCGGCAAGATATTTTCAAATTATTTACGCTAGTTTTAACTCGGAAGTGTTAAATTAAAAATTACATATTTAATAGAAGCTACTACTTCTTAATCGTCAAGATGACAATTCAAATCTCACTCATCAAGTTTTTCTAAATTCATCTTATGTAGATTTTATCTGAATGTACAATACTTTCTTATTGAAGAAGATTTCTTTCATCGGAATTAATTATCGTTTCATGAATTGAAATTATTTCCTCGAGTTCAGTAAAAACTTTTTACTTATTCAACTTTTCTTGTTAAATGGTATTCTTCTTGCTTGATTATTTTTGTTAGCAGATTTGCAAAGTAAAAATAGCACGGACTGATTCGACGCCATGCAACCCGTTACATATCTATCTATCTCAACGTATTCCTATCTATCTATCTA